AACCTCTCTCTCTCACCCTTCTCCTTTCTCTCTCTTCTTCTCCTCTCCTCTTTCTCTCTGTCTTCTTCTTTTCTTCTCTCTCTCTTCTTCTCCTCTCTCTCTCTCTTCTACTAACCTCTCTCTCACCCTTCTCCTTTCTCTCTCTTCTTCTCCTCTCTCTCTCTTTCTCTCTCTCTTCTACTAACTCTCTTTCTGTTCATCTCTTCCTACCCTTCCCTCCTCCCGCTCTCTGTCTCTCTCTACCTCTTCCCTCCTCCCGCTCTCTGTCTCTCTCTACCTCTTCCCTCCTCCCGCTCTATCTCTCAATATCTCCCATTCCGTGAGAAACTCTATATGGGTAGAAATCATTAACCTGTCAACACTAAATTATCTTATTGAATGAAAGTTATTTGGTGTGCTCCTCCCTCCCTCCGACCCTCTCACCCTCCCGTCTCTCAATGTTCCCTTTGTTCCCTTCTTCCGTGTGTGTGTGTGTGTGTGTGTGTGTGTGTGGGTGTGTGTGTGTGTGGGTGTGTGTGTGTGTGTAGCGGTGACAAGTGAAAAAGGCCACACCTAAAGCTAAATTATGCCAAGGTTTATTCACAGTGTACCTAGTTCTATGCTAATTCTCGACGTTGTTAAGGGATCTTTTTGTGATAATTGTCTACCTGGCATATTTGGTTAAGAATCATTGATGTGTGGTAGAATTATCGTGTGAGAGCTCTCTCCCTCCCCCCACACACACTGACCGTACTACAGAATGGATATAGAATCCCGAGAAAGAATTCAGAGGAGAATGACATGACTAATCTCGGGCATTAGGAACCTTGAGTATAGAGACAGGTTTAGACATCTTAATCTGCACTCCCTCGAGAGACGTAGAGTGAGGGGCGATATGATAGAGGTGTATAAATGGAAGTCAGGGCTAAACAAAGGGGACATTACAAAGGTACTCAAGCTATCCAACCAGGAGCGAACTCGTAACATTGGTTTAAAATTAGATAAATTTAGATTTAGGCGGGAAATAGGTAAACATTGGTTTGTAAATAGAGTAATGGATGAGTGGAACAAGTTACCAAACATCATCATTAACTCAAATACGCTGGATAGCTTCAAACACAGGTTGGATGGATATATGAGCGATAGGGGTTGGGTGTAAACGGGACTGCCCAGTATGAGTCAATAGGCCAGCTGTAGTTTCCTTCATTCTCATGTTGTTATAAGTCTCCGGGAACTGGTCGGTGTATGATCTCACAAGCGCTTATAAACTGTCTGAAATTCCTTATAGTAGGACAAGAACCAAGGGCCGAGTGGTGGCAACATTCTCTTTCCCTAATTTATAAAAAACTGTTATAAAAAGTTGTTTACAGATGGAGGAATACATCACCTGAGGAATTTACGACTGGTTTGAATAATTAGTTGGTTTCAGGTGAGGTGGTAGAGGGTCCTCTCTCCGTCAGCCATATACAACCTCTTTACAGGCAAAAGTGGGGCTTTCCTGAACCAGACCTAACCTGAACTGAACCTAAACCTAATCTACACAGAACTGAACTGAACCTAAACTTAACCTAACCAAACTGAATCTAACTTAAACCTACCTTAACCTAAACCTAACCTAAACCAAACCTAAGCTAAGCATTTACGGCTAGAATAATGCATCGGTCTACTGCTTCGGGTTCACGAGTCTGAATCTCTCTGGGGGGGGGGTGTGGTTCAGGGGGAGAGACGACCTGACTTTATTAGCTGGCTACACATTAATAATGGTTGCCCCTCGTATAACGATGATAGCCGGCCCAAGGGTCACCTAGGCGTAAAAGCTGTCGCCAACACAACAACCACACCCTGAGTTAACGAGTTGAATAAGTTTAGGTTTAGGAGGAAGATAGGAAGAAACTGGTTCACAAATAGGGTGGTGGACGAGTGGAACAAGCTTAGCAACTTTGTAGTAAGTGCTGGGACGTTGGAAAGTTTCAAAAGGAGGCTGGAGCTGCCATGCACAGGCCAACAAGCCATTACAGACTCCTTATTTTCTTATGTTCCTACGTTCTTATGATGCAGTGTCAAGGAACAATCCGAGAAGACCGGACAACTCGCCAACTGCACTGGCTAACTATTACCCAGGAACATGATCCGCAAATCGATTAATATCCAGGTCCCCAATTACTGTTGGGTAGACAGAGGCAAATGGAGTAAGTAAAGAAACCTGCCCACAGTTTCACCCTGCCCGAGGATCGAGACCAGGTCCACCACATTACACCACCACCACCGCAGCGTAAGTGTGTGGGTGACTTCGACTCTGGCCCTGTTCACTGTCCAACGGATTCTAATCAGTTCAGCTTTACCTGTAGCTAAAACCTGTCCCGCCGCACCTGTTAGCTTCCGAGAGCCCCAAATTAATTAAGTTATACATCCTGATAACTAGTCGATGCTATTAAGTGGCTGGAGAGAGTTACGCCGCCACCTAACTTAACCTAACCTAACCTAAGTTAAGCTAACCTAAGCTAGTCTAACCTAACTTAGCCTAACTTAAGCTAACCTAAATTAAGCTAACCTAAGCTAAGCTAACCTAACCTAACCAGATGCTTCCGGGAACACTACTTAACAAAGGCGATTTATTTGGTGAAACGTTCTAGTGAGTTTGTTGTTTACGAGAGAGAGAGAGAGAGAGAGAGAGAGAGAGAGAGAGAGAGAGAGAGAGAGAGCCTGCCTCATAACCAGAGGACATCGACTTAAACTAGGAATCATTGACTATTTGCTTTATTGTTATTATCAATAATAATAACCCGGTGAAAGTAGACCCGAGGGAACACTTACTTTAAGGTACAATTACTGGAAGAATGACCATCACACACACACACACACACACACACACACACACACACACACACACCTCGTAGTCAACCAGTGTGTTCACTCTCAGCCAATCTTACCCTTTTGCACTGTCACGATGTTGAAATGCCTTGTAGTATGACCTTCTCCTCACCTAGTCATTATATATCATATTCGTATCACTTGGTTACTTGTATATTATTTGTAAATCAAGAGAGACCCATTCACCAATTATGTAACTGTTTATTTTCAGCCTTCCGGCTGCCATACTCTTTCAATAAACCGTTAATAATTTATTATTATTATTATTATTATTTGTCAAGTGTAGTTGAGAGAGAGTTATAATTTTCAGGTTTAATGACTCAGTTTTCATTATGCTTCGTTCACTGCGTAAGAAGACTTGGTGTAGTTATTAAGTGACAAGGGCAATCCTAATCCATCTAACGGACTCCCTCGATATAACGGACTTTCATCTCTATGTAGTTCGTTAGATGGAGGTGGTACATCTAACGAACCCTACTCCATTTCCTTTCCTCTCAATCCACTACTTGACATCCCTTTCCCCTCCCACTCACCCCCTCAAGTCTCCTCCCCCTTCCTCTCACCCCCATACCCTCACGCTCCATCTCCCGTACCCTCACGCTCCCTCCCCCATCACCCCACGCCCCTCCCCTCACCCCGCCCCTCCCCTCGCCCCCACGCCCTCCCCTCACCCCACGCCCCTCCCCTCACCCCACGCCCCCCTCCCCTCCTGCCCCGCCCCTCCCCCTCACCCCACCCCACGCCCCCTCCCCCTCACCCCGCCCCCCCCCCTCACCCGCCCCTCCCCCTCACCCCACACAAGTATTAACACACCTGAACTAAAGACAACTTGGGGCGCTAAGTGAACCATTAAAATCAGCAGTGTTTTTAAGGTAATTACTCCCAGTGACTGTTAGCTCAATGGGAGGTCTTTCATTATCACCGTTTCTCTCTCTACGTTTCACCCAGTCTTCTGTTTACAATTATTTTCGTGAAATATATTCGTCTTATTTAATGATCGGTTTTAAAATCATCATATCATTTTTTTTACAGGTTTACATTATAGTGTTGTATTGATTTAAATAAAAGATAATTTAAAGTATTAAATCCTGTAAAACGAGACACAAAAACAAGTAGACTGTTTCTATTTAATAATATGTGTTACCCAAAGGCTTTAATTATTCTCAAGTGATGATGATTATCTTGTCAATTTATGCGTCTCTTCTTGTGACTATAAAAATGCATTCCTACATGTCTATCAGATATTTCCAACCCGTCACTATCACATCATATTTAACATTTTGTCTCTTGTAGTCACTCCAAAAAATTCTCTGTACTTGGGGTGACCGATGTAACTCCTGTTGTCTCTGTAGGGTTGTCAAAAGCCTTCGTCCGTTGTGTCATATTTTTTCAATACAATTTTGTAGAGATAACTTTTTTGAGTGACTGTACATTACGAATATATCGTTAACATAAATAGTGTAGTTATAATGGAACCACACTTGTTATTACTAAGAGTTCATCTTTTTCTACTTGAATTAATCATAATTATAATTCCATGCTTTAATTCACTATAATTAATGCTTTTGTGATTGCTGCTAATATTAAACCCAATGAATTGATTTGCTTGCATTCCTTTACTAATATCTGTAATCGGTTTATGAATGATGCAAAAATTTAACAACACAATCATGGACCACACTCGCGTCTTTGGTGGTCGTGGTAAAGAGCGGTTGGGAGAGGAGAACGCTGTATATATTTTCTCAGTGGAGTTAACTTGCACTAAAACATAATTGCATAATTTACTGTTGATTAAGAAGCTACAGGCAGACAATCGTACACTACAAGAGGGGAAAATAACATTTAATAGTTTATTATTATAATAATTCTACCTTTGGTTTGTTTAATATTTATCCTGACAGTGATACAGCCGTAAACAGATCCACCAATCACAATCACCTTTACATACAGTCTTCCTTTACCAAGTATTGCCAGGTAAAATTGCGAGCACGAGATCCAGGGTGGGGTCGGTGCTAACTACCATAAATGCTTCGGATTCATGAGTCTGAATCTCTCTCGTGGGAGGGGGTTCGTGTTTCTGAGGAGAGGTAAACGGACTTTTGTAGTATTGTAGTCGACTGTAGTACATTTATTACTACAGTATATCTTACCTTGGCAACCCAGCAACTCGAAGCGGAGGGAAGGGTGTGAATGCCAGTCTAATACGTGGACCCTAACGAAGCGACCCAACACGGGCGGCTCCACGAAGTTGTGCCTCGTCTGGTGTGAGTTGACGTTAGCCTGGAACACCTGAGGGCACGAGATACACCTGTGTTAATTATGCACCTGGAGGAAAACACATTTACATTCACACACACACACACACACACACACACACACACACCTATCATTAAATCCTTCAATTATAGTGGGAGATGTGACAAAAATGTTACGGGTCAGTTAATATGTTATGTAGATCTTCCTCTTATAAGCACATCCCTACATACATGCATACAAACATACATATGCTGATAACCACATTGGAAATTAGAAAACATAGGTGAATTACACGAAAGCGCTTGGGAACTTCGTGTTTTCTTGTTTCCAATGTGGTTATCAGCATATACCTGGATCACGCGCACCCACAGTGATTTATTTGCACGCACATACATACATACATACATACACCTGTCAGTAATTGCGGAAGATATATAATTAATACACCTGTAATTACCGTAATACGACTTAATAACCCTTAATATATTTGTAAACTCTCCGTTCAACTTAAGGCGATGAAGATTCCTCTCTACTGAACACCAACACTCCGGATTTGAGAGAAAACCGGACACACTAGCTGGAAACATTCTCAACTTAAACAGGATTTCCTTGCCGGTTAAGATGCTAATGTTAAGTTGCCTCCTTCCAGATACAACACTAAACATCGCTGGTGGTAAACATCAGCATAAAATAAACATCGCTGGTGGTAAACATCGCTGGTGGTAAACATCAACAAGCCGACGGCAGGAGAGATTAATGGATAGTTCTGACAACATAATGACCTCAGCGCTATAATTGAAAACATGAATTATATGTACCCGCTGGCCTCCCATGGTACACTCTGTAAAAAAAAAACTACCGTTACAATTCCTGCAAACGAAGTGTTTCAAAAAGGCCCCTGAGGCAGTCCTCGTATGGGTAGCCCTGCACGTGACCGGCACTCTGAAACCAGTCAGAGTTAGTGCTGCCGCGCTAACACAATTTGAAGCTTGATCGGAACTGTACGCCTCATTTCTCCAGGTCTAATACACATTGTGAGCGGTGTTGTAGCAGCCTAATATTGTGATTTACGTAATTAGTGCTACCAACATTTCCTGATATCTTATATAAAGAATGTGTTTGTTATATGAACTGTGGAGCTATTCACATGTTTAGGAACAGCTTGGTATATTTTCCAGTACGAATAAAGAATGACATAATGTGGCATTAGCCCAAAGTGAAGTAGCAATACAAATAAATATTCGAAATTCGGTTGCAAAATAATCTTTTACCTTTACATCTAGGGACGAAACACGAGTATGACCTCGTCTTAGTTACCACTCCGCTCTCCATATCCTGGTTGTTGCGTCACCTCTTCCAAGTCTTCTTCAAGTTTCAGTTCGATGAGAACATAAGAACATAAGAACATAAGAATGGAGGAAACTGCAGCGGCCTATTGGCCTCATACTGGCAGTCCTGCTTACACCCAACCCCTATTGCTCATATGAGCATCCAAACCTATGTTTGAAGAACCACGTATTCGAGAATGATGATATTTGCAACTAATCTATCCATCCACCACTCTGTTTCAAACCAGTGTTTACCTATTTCACGCCCAAATCTAAATTTGTCTAATGAAAACCATGCTACGAGTTCGCTCCTGGTTGATAATTTGAGTACCTTTTGAACGTCCCCTGTTTAGCCCTGCCTTCCACGGCACACCCCATCAGGTCGCCCGCCCTACGTCTCGAGGGAGTGCACCAAGATGTTTTAACCTGTCTCTACTCTGGGAAGTGACCACAGGATCACCCATCCTGAAACCCACCGCACAGTGACTACCTATCGTCTTCATAACACTCACCTTACCCGTCAGCCATCTCAGCTCCTCACTTAAACATTTGTAACTTATATTGCTCCACGTCCAACTTTGCTTCAAATTATTTTATACTGTATAAATATGTATATACTGTTAATGTTGAGTTTAGTATGGTTATGTAAATTAGAAAGATGAATATTGTAATGAATTTATGGTACTTTATTATACACAACGAAAACTCTCATCCTTTGTCTACCTTTTAAACCGATTGTCTTTGTTTTTTTTATTGTTGCCTGTTGGGATTTAGACCTTAACTATATTCTAACCAACTCATAATAAAGATGACCGTGACAGGACACGACATTATGCCATATTCCTTCCTCCTTGTTACTCAGTGTTAATTATCTCCCAGTCACTTTGCTCACAATTGTTTTATGTTGTTTAAAGTTTCCCTCATATGTGTGTGCATATATTGCATTATCGTACAGTAAGAGTGACATATGTAGATATTAGGTTCAAAGTGTCATAAGGTTTACTCTGTTATTACACGTGGCAGTCGTAGTAAAAACTTTATCGAGGAAAAGAATCTGGATCTGTTTAATGCCGCAATTTACTCCAGAGTAGGCTGTCTCCATAGTCACTAGTTTAGGTGATGATATCTTGGGACGCCTCTCTACTATAGGACCCCATAATTATAAAGCCTTAATTATTGTTCTTTCCATTATTTCATCTCAAATAATTCAAGTATCTAAGGGTTGTTAATCCGATCTTAATATTAATGCCGTAATACACCTTCCTGTTTACTCAGGGTTGTTAATCCGATCTTTATATAATGCCGTAATACGCCTTCCTATTCCAAGTCTTATCTCATTCTAAAGATCTTATCAGAAGAACAATATTCATAAGTGTAATTTCTAGGTGTATAAATTGGTTAGTTTCGGGATGGTTATTCATCACTGTGATATTTCTAGGTAATCCATCTTATTCTTATCTTTGACCATTAGTTAATTTATCCTAGTTTTCAACAATGGCCAATTAGGTTTTGATCTCCAGGATTTTATTTGAAAATCCTCCAGAGCTAATTACGTGTTAATATCCTGAAGAAAGAATGGAAAGAAATAGCCAACTATT